CGCTCTCTCTCTCTCTGTGTGTGTGTGTGTGTGTGTGTGTGTGTAGAGGTGTAAACTTGTGCATGTGGAGGTCAGAAGTCAATTCTAGGTAATTGGAAGTCATCATCCTATTTTCTGAGGCAGGGTCTCTCACAGGGACTTGGTCCTTGTTAGTTAGGCTATACTAGCTGGCCAGTGAGACCCAGGGATCAGCTTTTTTCTTCCTTCCTGGACCTGGAACTACAAGTATGTGCCACTACAACTGGCTTTTTGGTTTTTTGTTTTTGTTTTTTTTTTTTTTTTTCTCTAACGTTGGTTCTAGGGATCAACTCCATATTCATGCTTCCTCACTTACTAACTGACCTGTCTCCCTAGTACTTGGCAATGGGAGTTCTTTTGTGTCTAATTCTTTCTCCTAATACAATAGCATGAGACTCACTCATACTGCTTCCACAATTAGTAGTCTATTCCTTATTACTACTGGGTAGTGTTCTGTTATGTGAGTAAATCCAGGCTGCTCCAGACTTTCCTATAGAGGGTCATTTTGGTTGTTCTGCTTGCCTATTGTGAATGAAGCTGGCCTGAACATTTTGAAGCTTTTGTACATATATGCGTTCATTTTGCTAGTATAAATATCCCGAGGTGGGATTTGAGCTAAAAGGGTTGATCTGCATCTTTACTTTGAGATGGAATTGCCAACTCCTTCCATTTTACTAGCAAAATGCAAGAGGCCTGGCTTGTGCTGGCCACATCCTCTCTAGTCAGTTTAGGGTGTCACAGGTCTCCAAAGATTGGTGCTCTCATTGTGGTTTTAGCTTAGTCTATCAAACTGCTTTTCGTTTAACACAATATTTTTTTCTTACTGTTTCTTAATTTAAAATTTAAATTATTATTTTATTTTATGAGTATGAGTGTTTTGCCTTCATATATATCTGTATATCGAATGTGTATCTGGGATCCATGGAGGGCAGAAGAAGGCACTGGATCCCCTGGGACTGGAGTTACAGAGAGCTGTGAGTCTCCATGTGGTTTCTGGGAATTATTGAACTTGGGTCCTGTGCAAGAGCAGCTCTCTTGACCACTGAACCATCTTTTGTGTTCTAATTTTTGGCATTTTAATTGTTTAAAACTCACTATTAGTGAGGTTTGGGACTAAGAAAAATTCTAGAGATAATTTTTTTGGCAGGTGTGTTCTGCTGAATATTTTCTGTCAATCTTGAAGCATCCCATCCATTTCCTTAATGTTATTTTCCAGTAAGTAAAAAAGAATATGTTTTACTTTTTATCACATTGCCTTATATAGCCCATCTGAGAAATCAACACGTATTCCTAGGCCAGAAAGAGAGTCTCCTGGGTTTTTTCCCCTAAAAGTTTTATAGTTTAACTTTTGTAATAAATCCATGATCCACCTTGAATTAAGTTTTTGTTCGTGTTGTAAAATAGAAATTGAGGCACATTCTTTTTCAACATGGTTTGTTGAAAGTTTCTTCCTTCCTTTATTGGTTTGGTAACTTTGCTAAAACCCTATCAATTGCAGAATGTATGCCAATTCCACACAGGATATAAGATGTCTTGAAGTCCTGAGATACACACACTCTATCTTTGTTATTTTCTCAAGATTGTTTTAAGTTTCCTTCATTCTTTTCATTTCCAATTAGTATTGAGAATTAGTATGTCAACTTACTTTATTATTACTTTAAATACATTTTAAATTAAAATATAATGGCATCGCTTCTTTCTTCCCTCCCATGCCCTCTCAGATTGACAACTCTTTTCTTTGATTAGTATTGTTTCATGTACACGTGGGAGAACCAGCTCTCACTTTAACAGCTGTCCTTGGGATTCTGCTGAGATCATATTAACTCCAAGTTCACACACCTAAGTTTCTGATTTCTAAGGATTTGAGAGAAAAAAAAATGTATTAAAGATTTCAGAGCTCATTCCCTTTCTGGAATTTTGCTAACATTTACACCTTCTAATTTTCTGCAGTTTTGCCCTTTCTGAATTTATCTGTCGCCTCATGAAACCCAGGAATCTGAGGCTGTCCACAGCCCCAATTAACAGTGTCCCGAGGCAAGAATCTGCAAACTGCCTTTAAACAGTTTTTTTCCAAGCCAAACCATATCCAGCTTTATTAAAGATGCTTTCCATAAACAACCATGGTATTTCAGGCGGGACATGGGCGGATAATCACTAACAGTTTATAAGAACTTCCAAACTCCCTCACATGGACTACCAAAATTAGAAAACCACTATAAAACCCGATGAAGTCTTCATTGGATGCTTTAGAAAGGGGAAGAGCTTAGAGTGAGGGTTGACATTTCACATTAAGGATGCTGTTTAACAGCTTTTCACAAGCCGACCCTGACTTTCAGGAAACGAAATGAAAGCGGCAGAATTATCAGTCTGAAGATCCACAGTCTTTTATAAAAGGAACCGCTGCTCTTTTGAGGACACTCAATGGTGTCACTGCAAAGTCCAGATTGCCCAATAGACCCACAAAACCAATGTTAGGTGCCAGGTTTCAACAGATCCCTGGTTTTAAGGGAGTTAAGTCTATGTTGATGGTATGGGGAGGGACGGATATAAAAATGAATTTGGAGTTTTCCCACACAATAAGGCATTCTGTGCCATGGTGGCCACATATGTCAACACCAGGACATCTCTCCTGAGCCAAGAGGAGTCTTTCTAAATTGTCAGGGAAAGATGTTTTCTATCAACCATCATTAATCCAGCTTAGTAGAATTTTGTTAGTGACACATGATCCTTTCCCCCCAAAACAATGAAGTATTCTGTGTGCTAACAACATAGCTAAAAAAACAAAAAGACAAAACAAAAAACAAAACAAAAAAAACCCCCAAAACCAAAAACCCAAATTCTGCATTCTTATAAAACTTGATAAAAAGTATTTCAAAGTGGACAGTCACCAGAAGTGCACAGTTATCAAAAATGCACACATTTCACTTGGCATCTCCAGCACCTTCAGCTTTTTGTGCCTGGCCTATTTTGGTGTCTTTATTTTCTGCAGGGCTATTGGCATCCTTGCCAGCATCTGCTTTCCCTTTCTTCCCCTTGGGTACCTTCTCTCTCTTCTTTGCAGGGGCCTTTTCAGGCTTGGGCTCTGGCTTTGGAGGAGCCCTTCTCTCCCTTCTTTGCAGGGGCCTTTTCAGGCTTGGGTTCTGGCTTTGGAGGAGCAGGTTTAGCAGACAACCTTGCAGATTTTCTCTGTGGCTCGTCCTTCATCTTGGCTTTATCTCCTTTAGTATCTGCTTCAGCCTTTCTTTTGGGTGTGTCAGTGGTGGAGGACGTTGGTGCTGAACTCCGGGATGTAGTGGTCCTTTAAACCATTTTTAAAAACAAGTATTTGTAGCTGGGGGGGCGGGTTAGCTAATCGAGCATGCCATCCTAAATTCAGACCCTCAGACCCCTTGTTCCTCTCTTCTGTGTTCTCTGATTACAATCCTTTTGTATTCTTGAGACACATGCATCCCTGCAAATCTCCCTTCCTTGCCTGTGTTTTGGGGCCTGACAGAAGTTCTTGAACCTTCTTCCCCTTGCTTGCAGCCTGGCTGACTCCACAGTTCTCCAGACGTCAGCTCTAAGGAACAGCTGATTGGAGGAAAACTCCCCCATGGGGTGATTTGCCCTTTGTTATTCCCCCTCCTCTGTGTAGTTTATCGTTACACCCAGTAACTTGTGAATCACCTCTTCTTATGTGGAGGCTCTCTGACTGTCTACCTGAGTTCTTATCTGTTGCTCTGATAAGACACCATGGCCAAGGCGATATATAAAAGGGAGCATTTGATTTGGAGAGCATGGTTCCAGAGTCCACAGTCATCATGGTGGGGAATATGGCGGCAGGAAGGCAGGCATGGTGCTGGAGCAGAAGCTGAGGGCTTGTAGCTGAGGGGGGAGGGAGGAGGGAAGGAGAAAGGGGGAGACAGAAAGGAGAGAGGAGGGAAGGGAGGAAGGAGGGAGGGAGGGAGAGAGACAGAGACAGAGACAGAGACAGAGACAGAGACAGAGACAGAGAGAGCTCTAACTGGGATAGCATGGGCTTTTGAAACCTCACAGCCCATCCTCAGTGACATACCCCCTCCAAGGATGTAAGTCCTTGTCTGACAGATTGTATGGGGAAGTTATGGAGCCCTGTAAGTTTTAGGTGTCCAATCATCTCCAAGTGATTTCTTTCATCCCTTTTACTTGTGACACTGTATATTAAATACTAGCATGAAATCCCCATGCAAGTGCCTCAGCTGCCCAGAGGCCGGTCTTCCAGACACTTCAGAAAATATACCAGTCAGTAGTCACATGCACAGACACATTTCTATTGAGTTAAAAACGTTAACTTTTTTCAGCTTTTTGAGGCAGTTCTCACTCAGGTTGGAGGCCAGACACACTTTGAACTTGCAGCAATTCTCCTGCCTCAGCTTCCCAAGTCACAGGCATGAGCCACCACACTTGGCTAGGAGCTTCGTTAATAATTGGTGATTATCTCATTATTTTCTATTTCTTTTCCATTTTCCCTTAAACCAGTGGCTGTCAACCTTCCTAATGTTGTAACCCTTTAATACAATTTCTCATGTTGTGGTGACCCCCAGCCATAAAACTATTTTTGTTGCTACTTCATCAGTGTAATTTTGGTACTGTTATGAATCATAGTGTAAATAACTGTGTTTTCCGATAGTCTTAGATGACTCCTGTATAGGGTCATTCGATCTGCAAAGATGTTGTGATCCACAGGTTGAGAACCACTGCCTGAAACAGACCTCGACAACACCGCTTTGAGCCTCACCTATGTAAAACCTGTTTTCTCCAACTTCTCACTTACCTCAAAGGCTTTTCATACCATTCTTAAAAAACACTGTAGTTGACTTCTTTATTGCAGTTCCCTTGAGATAATCATGGTTGATATCCATGTTGATGTTTAGCCCCCAATAAACACATGGACACTATATTAATTATTAAACTGTTTGGCTGATGGCTTAGACTTCTTACTGGCTAGCTCTCTCTTAATTATTAACCCATTTCTATCAGTCTATGCATTGCCACAAAGCTGTGGCTTACCCGTAATCTGGCACGTTACTCCTTCAGCAGCGTGGCGTCTCCTGGCGTCTCCTCTCTTCCTTCCTCTTCCCAGCTTTCTCCTGGTCAGCAGTCCCACCTATACTTCCTGCCTGGCTACTAGCCAATCAGTGTTTTATTCATCAACCAGTAACAGAAACATATATACAGAAGAACATCCCCCATCATCTCCTCTCTAAGTAACATGATATATCAATAATAAGTGCCTTATTCACATGAAATAGAGACTAGAAAAAGAAAAAGAAAAGCTTTTTCTTTAACTACATCTGCTCCAAATACACCTCTTGCCCAGCACCAGGCGTAGTGGGAACTCTACCACTTCCTAAGTTGTATATCTTTCCATGTTTTTCTCTAAGTCTCCATGAATGAACACACACAGTAAGGTGACTGTGAAAACACTGAACACCGAAATGATGAAATATGTAAATAGAAAATCGAGCATTTAAAAACATGTTCTTTTATTATCTCAGTAAACTGAAATTAGCTTAACTGCCTACCCGGGGAACCAAGTTAAAGGTAGCGGCTTGCCACATCTGTCTAATGAATTCTACATTCTTAGCTGGTTTGGTCCTTTGTTTGATGATGTGGCTGTCTCTAGCTAATTGATAGTTCCATATCAACCATGATTTAAAACAGCAAAACAGATCAATCTGCACAGTGATTCATGCGTTGAATTAACAAGCAGCAGGCTCTGTGGTGTGCTGTTCTTTGCTTCTTTCATTCAAGGGTACATTTTGGGGGCTAGAGAGGTGGCTGGCACTCGGTGCTTCACTGCACTTGCGGCTCTTCTGGAGGACCTAGGTTCAGTTCCCAGCATTGTGTGGTTCACAAATGCCTGTACTTCCAGGGGGATCTGACATTCTCTTCTGGCCTCTGGGGATACCTGTACACATGTGGTATATACTTGCAACACACACAAAGTAAAATACATTTTTGTTGCTTACACAATGTTTATCTAATGGTGTGCGTGTGTGCGCGCACATGCCTAAATTATTTGTGTGCATCATGTGTGTATAGGAGCCCATAGAAATCAAGTGAGGAGTCAGATTCTCTGGACCTGGAGTCATAGATGGTTGTGAGCTGCCATGTGAGTGCCGGAAACAAAACTCAGGTGCTCTGGAAGAGCAGTCAGTGCTCTTAACTGCTGAACCAACTCTCCAGCTCCACTTGATTGTATGTATGTATGTATGTATGTATGTATGATACACCTCATTGTTCCTTATGGCAGGATATTATCCTATAATCTATATAATGTATTTATTTGTAAAGCGCTTTACTATTTAATTTCTCCTAGTGCTTTGGTGTTATAAGTCATGGTGCCCACATATCATATCCCCTCAGCATCTCTCTGTAGCTCAGTGGAGACTGCTGTGGGGTGGGGTTATAGCAGAGGAATGACCAGTTTGCAGTGTACAGGAAGATCAGTACTTTATTCACCTACAAGAAATGTACACACACCCTGTGTTACCTGCACTGATGTGTACTTTAGTATCTCCTAGAGATAGAAGTTCCAAGGCAAATGTGGGTACACTCAGGTGAATTCTACAACTAACTTAGATGTCTATGTACCCCACCTTTCTGGCCAGAGAGTGTGGGTAGGCAAGCAAGGGGTATCACGAGAGTGGTCTGTGAGGAAAGTGAGGAGAGTTAGAGAGGGGCCAGTGCTTGCTTGCCCAGAGTGAGGAGTATCTTCGGCCTTCAAAGAGGGCTCGGGAGTGTTGGTTCCTTACTGTCCTCATAAGCTTGCAAGCACAGCACGTGTCCCTGAGAAGTCAGGATCAAGACTGCTCATCTTCATCCTGAAGCCGCTCCCCATCTTTATATGAGATGAGAAAATGCTCTTTGGACACACATTAGCATGAAAAGGAGCTGGGGGGGGCAAAACACAGTGTGAGTCAGAAAGCTTGTGAGTCTGAGCCAGCTGTGTGTTAAACAGAAGCAACTTGAGGAGACCTGCCTGGAAAACCTGCTGAATGGAACACTTGAGACGCATTCAGAGACGCCGGTGGTGGATGGGCTTGCTTGTTTCTGAAGAAACAGCTGCCAATAATAATGGTCCCATGATGTCACAGAAAACATGACTCTCGGCTCCCATTCAGTTGTAACACCCCACCTTCATTTCATACAGGGACCTGGGGAGAGAAGAGGGTCCCTTAAGGAGGGGGCGAGGCAAGCTAGAGCTATAGTCCCATGTGGCAGCCATGTCTGCCCACCAGCCAGGTGGTCTTGGAAGAGGTGCCTCTTGGTAAAGGGGCCTGAAGCTCTCTGCTGCTGCGGCAAGTCAGACATGTGGGATCGCTGGAAAGAAAAGCACCCCTGGACTGGCCGGAGGTTTGAGTTCCATTCTGCCTGCCTGTCTGTCTGTCTGTCTGTCTGTCTGTCTGTCTGTCTGTCTGTCTCTGTCTGAAGGGGGTAGGGAATAATGGCACATGTGTGTGCTGCCCACACATGAACATGAACAGGGGAGGGCATGCAGTTCACTGATGTGTAAAGAAAGCAGACCTTCTAGTTTTATTTCTGACAGAGGGAGAACTTCAGCACTGGAGGTGTGGTCCATGGGAATTCCGTGGAAGCATAACTTTCTGAGAAAAATCTCCCCTCGCCTGACCCATGTGAGAGTTTTATCGAACCAACCAGTCAGGGAAACGGCAGCTAATGTGATTTCCTCTTTCTAGTGTGAAAACATTTATAATGGTGCTCAGATTATCTACAACTTCTCCAGTCAATATGGAAACCTTTATAGAGTCTAGATGTAGCCACCCCACCACCACCACGCACACACCCGTGATCTCTAGGGAATGCTGTTGGGACTTCACTGCTTCCTTTTTGAAAAATGTAGCATTTGTATTCTATTACATTTGTGTGTGTGTGTGTGTGTGTGTGTGTGTGTGTGTGTATATACCTGCCCTGGTACACATGTGAGGTCAGAGGATGACTCTGGGGCCAGTTCTCTCCCTGCACTGGCAGGTCCTGGGAATCAAGCTTAGCCCCCCCAGGCTTGGTGGCAGGTGCTTCTGCCTGCTGAGCCATCTCCTCTGTCCTGTGTTTTTTAAGATAGGGATAACTCTCCCTTCTCCCCCTTGAAAATGCATCTGCTCAGTGTGCTGGGTTACTCCCTAGGGTCGCTGGGTGGTTGGGGGCCCTGTGTCATAATCCTTCAAGGACTGGCAGTTGGAGGCAACAGTTCAGAGCCCAGATTTCCACAGGCAGGGTAGTCATAAGTACTGAATCACTCAGAAGAGGTTTTGTTTGTTTGTTTCTCCTTTTTTTTTTTTTTTTCAGTTGGAGAGGACTGAAAAAGTTTCATTTGGATTTTAAGGATCTTTTTTTTGAGTCACTTTATTTTATTTTATTTTATTTTATTTTATTAGTTCAAATTAGGAACAAGCTTGCTTCAGATGTCAATCCCTTCTCCCTCTCCCTCCCCTCCCCCCAACATCCCACCTGCCCGTAGCCATTCCCCTCTACTCCCCAGGCAGAGTAAGGCCCTCAAAAGGGGCTCCCCAAAGTCCACCACATCATCCTGGGCCAGGCTTAGGCCCTTCCCCATGTGTCCAGGTCAAGAGAGCATCCCTTCACAAGGGATGGGCTCTCAAAATCCCTTCTTTTTTATTTTATTTTTTTAAGATTAAGGATCTTTTAACTAGAATTTAGTAATGTTTGAAAATACTTGTGTTAGTCTCACAGCCCTTCCCCCCAACCCCCCAAAAAGAGAAAGCTTAAGTAACAGAGTTCAGACAGTCTCACCCACACTGACTTACTGGGAAGACTTAGTAGTCTGTAGCCAATGCTGTTGGGCTTAGATTTACAAACCTCTGCTGTTCTTGGCAGTGCCTTAGAATCAGGCACTGCTACTGTTTGGGTCTCTGTGATCCTCAGTTTCCTTATCTGTAAAGTGTAAATGATGCTTAAAGTAGTATTGTAATGAGGGGGAACTCGGATTTAGCAAAAGGCTTGAAATGTTTGGATGTTTGAGAAGTATTAGGCGCTGTGTCCATCTTTCTAAGGTTTGGGTTCATTTACTTTTCTTTGTAGGCCTTGGGGTTTCTCTGCTATTTTAACCAGAGTGCGGTCTTCTGGAAGTATGTAAATATGGATATGTGGATAGAATCTTTCAGAACTGATCTTTTTTTGTTTGGGAGACAGGAAGGAATTGAGATAGGATGTCTCACTGTATTCCAGGATGCCCTAGAACTATGTAGTCAAAGCTGGCCTAGAAGTAGAGGTGATCCTCCTGCATCTGCCTCCTGAATGTTGGGGTTACAGGTGGGAGCCAGCACATCTAGGTCTCTTTCCCTGACAGCTGTCTGTTGAAACAGCTCCTTGTTTAGCATCTTGTGGGTGCTCTCTGAGTCTATGGGGGCTTATCACAGGGTGTCCTTTAAACTCTACACCTCAGGGGTCCAACCTTTTCCAGCAGTCAGGGCATCCCTTCAGAGACTGGCTCTCCAAAGGAAGGGATTAGTTTTCTTCCCAAAGAGTTTACTAACATCATCACAGTGATCTCTTGTATTTATTCACCCTGAGCTATGTGAGGATGTCCCCAATTGTCAAGTCTTCGAAAGGATTTTCTTACCACCGTTTGCTCCGCATCATTTTATGCATTTGCTTTGGTTATTATAAAATACGTTATTATAAGTAATCAAATGGAGTATTTTACATAATGTTTTTACTGGTTCAAATGAGAGGAGTCTACCTAAGAATGTGGAGCTGCTCAGTGCCCTTAAAAATGGGTCCCATCTTGCTCAGGCAGAAAGAAAGGGAAGACGGACAGGTCTGTTCTGGGGTTCCACCCTCTCCTTTAGCAAAACAGCTTCTTCTACCAGAGACCCTGACTCATCCCTCCTGTCCCCACTGCCTTGTCTCTTTTTGATGTGTGTGTCTCCACTAATTCTAGGGTCACATTGCCTCTCTGCATCTCCATCCCAAGTGGGGGAAGGAAAGCTCATCCCCATGCCTCTGTTCATGGCGTCTGAAAACAGAAGCCTCCGTTTGTTTCATGTATGAATACAACTACTCAGAATAACCACCGACAGTGTTTCCAAATATTTTGGCCCTATTTAAGTAAAGAGACATGAATAATTTGGAACTGGCATCCTTTTTCTTTTTCTTTTTTTTTTTTGTTGCATTAGCAATAAATGTGATGAAACCTTCAAAGCAAAATTTCACAGTGAAGAGTGGTTGCCTTCTGTAGAGAGAGGAGGGCATGGGTTTGGGGCTTAGACTTGTCCTGAATAAACGTTCTGCTTGCATGCTTTTGTCTATGAACATTTGAGAAGTGCTTTGGTGTGTGTGTGTGTGTGTGTGTGTGTGTGTGTGTGTGTGTGTGTGTGTGTTTCCTTTCCTCAAATAGGCTTGGTTTGGTTTAGGGGAACTCTCTTGAGTATTTTGCTAGGTGTTGTTCTGCTTGTCCCAGGCTCAGGTATCAATGAGAAGAGCGCTCACTCTTAGGAGTTCGCAGGTCAGTTGGCAAGTTAGAGTTGACCATTGAAAGACAGTGTCTAATACAAAGTTGGTTCATACTTGAAAAAAAAGATTTAGTTTAAGTTTTAGTGTGTGTGTTTACTTGCAGAGTCCAGAAGACAGCATCAGATCTCCTGAAAACAGAGTTTCAGGTAGTTATGAGCTACTCTATGTTGGTGCTGGGAACTGAATTCTGATTCTCATAAGAGGGACAAGTGCTGTTAGCCACCAAGCCATATTGTGAGCATCCACACTGTATCTCAACTGTGTTCTCTGTCTAACTTAGTGGAAAAATAATAGATGAGTTTCTCTTGTCTTCTTAATTTTTCGAACATGGGAAGTTTCTGAAGAAGGCGGGACACTGCAGAGAAGGGGCAGGAAAACCAATCATTTTATTTATTAGCTTCCTTTCCTAACATGAGTGCACAGCTTCCTAATCCATAGATCAAAGCAAGGCACTGTACAAATGCTGTTTGTTTCCAGAAGCCCACAGCTGAAATTCCTGTGTTGACACCAAGAACTTCCTGCCCTTTGGCAATTACAGTGTACCCAGGAGCAATTTCACCTTACTAGAAAGTGATCCTCAATTTGAGTTGGCAGCAGCTCAATGCAGGTGAGCTGTAGGTGTCTGTGGCTCTGAGGCCTTTGGGTTCTCCAACAAGACTTACAGCCAATGAAGCTGTTGAGGCTGTTCAGTGGTAAGGTATTTACCTCAATGATCATAGTACTGCCATTCTGAAAAACCATGCTGGTTTAAAACATTGTTAGGAGCCAGGCAGTGGTGGCGCACGCCTTTAATCCCAGCACTTAGGAGGCAGAGGCAGGTGAGTTTGAGACCAGCCTTGATGGGGAATGTTCTTCTGTGTATATGTTTGATGAATAAAGCACTGTTGACCAATAGGGAAGCAAGATAGGTGGGACTAGGCGTTGAGGAGGATTCTGGGAAATGTAGTAAAGAGAAATCACCATGTTATCCAGGCAGGAGTGATGCAGCAGGCACAAACAGGAAATCCTCCTCCCCTCCCCTACCCTCCCCTGCCCTCCCCTGCATTCCCCTGCCCTCCCCTGCCCTCCCCTGCCCTCTTCTCTTTTCTGCGGAGAGGCACAGAGGACATGATGTAGACCCCAATGGAGTAAGAGGCCCGGCCATGTGGAATTACATGGATTATTAGTAAATGGGTGAATAATTAAGACTGAGATAGCAAATAAGAAACCTTAGCCAAAAGGCCAACAGCTTTATAACTAGTATCTGCGTATTTCTTTGGGGCACAGAAGGGCAGTGGGACATAGCCAGGCCAATAAAACCTTATGTTACACAGCCTGGTCTACAGAGTGAGTTCCAGGACAGGCTCCAGAGCTACACAGAGAAACCCTGTCTCAAAAAACATTGTTAGGAAATGATATCATTATAGTTCTGATGAGAGTTAAGTGTGGTGGTATCTGCTTCCAGTCCCTGCACTCTGGAGGCTGAGGCAAAAGGATTGAGAGTTTAAAGCTGGCCTGGCATACATAGTGAGAATTTGTCCTAAAACAAAGCAAAACATTGTAGAAATTCCTCTCACTCAGTAGAATATTTATTTTTGTGTCTATGAAATGCAATTTGGGTTACTTAATTTTATGGGTTTGGAAATTTTTAGAAGTATTTTTTAGAGTCATTTATTTTATTTTACATGTATGGATAGTGTGTGTGTGTGTGTGTGTGTGTGTGTGTGTGTGTATATACCATATATATATGATGTACATGTACTAGAAGAGAGCCTAATATCCAAAGAGGTCAGAGAGGCATTGGACCCTCTAGAACTGGAATTACAGATGGTTGTGAATAACCACGTAGCTGCCAGGAACTGAACCTAGGACCTCTGAAAGAGTAGTGTGTGCTTTTAACCACAGAGCTATCTCTACAGCTCCCTATGTTTTATGTGTGTGTGTGTGTGTGTGTGTGTGTGTGTGCGCGCGTGTGTGTGTGTGCGCGCGCGCGCGCGCGCGCGCGTGTGCAGGTGCCTATGGAGTCCAGAAGAGGGCATCGAATCCTCTGGAGCTGGAGTTAGATGTGCTGTGAGCTGCCTGCCGTGTGAGTGCTGGGAACAAAACCAGGGTCCTCTGGGAAAGCTGCAGATGCTCTTCACTGAGCTCTCTCTCTCCAGTCTGGGTCTGTGATTTTTTTCACATCATCCATATGGTGAGGCATGACTCTTATTTCATCTAGTAGATGAGTGCTTCACTACTGATCTTAAAAAAGCATTTGATTTCTGCAAAGTGATGGGATGTAGTTAGAAAAATAGACATAATCTATGGGAACAAAAAAAATTATATCAAAATGGAAGCTGTTGACTATAAAAGTCCAGCTACTACTTATTCATTTAAGGTTTGCCTCACACACATTGATTAAAAGAAGGTTTTTTGTTTTTAGTGTAACTCAGGACTATTTTATGTTGAAGTTTTATATTAATTAAAAACTTGTAATGTTTAAATATATAATTATATGCATTTATTTATAATACAAATAAATTAACTATATATCTATACATATACTTATAATAACTTATTTACGATATAACACATAAATATAAGAAATATATATTAAGTGTATATTTATATACTTATTTATAATATAAATATCATAAATATATATTTCTATAGTGGGAGTTTTAACTCAGTACCTCACACATGCTAGGCACACAGCTCTATCCCTAGCCCTATTTATTATACGTTTTATTATGAAAGTTACATTTCTTAGTAATCAGTGCTTGGTGGTAGGTTTTTTTAAAATTTTGTTTGTCTTCCTAGACTGATTAGAAAATAATTGTTTCTAGATCCCATTAAACGTATTTATCTGGTTCAAATAGTCTTCACACTAGTTCTGCATTTTCAGGCAGGCACAGGGGCAGAACGTCGCTGAAGATCTTTGCTCTCAGCTGCCTTGCCAGTTCTCCCTGCAGCTTCCAGTATTTTCCATTCTCTGGTTCATCTTGCATTGCCTCTGTTTCTCCCCTGCAAGCAATAGAAGCAGAAAGTGATTACCACCATGAATCAGGACTCCAGAATCAAAATTCTAAATCCCTGAGCACAAATGCTATCTCTCTTCAGAATTTCCTGACCCATTTTCCTTTTGCTTTCTTTTTCTCTCTCTCCCCTTTTAAAGATGACAAAATTGACTTTCTTTTCAATCTGCCTTCTTCAGAAATCTCTCTCCATGATTGGCATTTTCCTCTTCTACCGCTCACAAAGACCGTGACAGCATGCCTCAGACAGAACACCGAGTGCCAACAGATCATCTCCAAAAAGCAATGCTTTTTCTGCAAGAGTTCATTTTTTTCTGATGAAACCAGAACATGGGCCATTTAATAGAAAACTCAAAAGACTTCAGAACACAATTTAGCAGCCATTCAATCAAGCGGTAGCAATTTCTTTTGTCCCCAGCAGGAAGGAGGTGGTTTAAGGTAGGGAGGTGGAATATGAGAGGCGAGGGGGCTCTAAGGTCTTAAGGAATTTGTGAGGAGAGAAAATTTAGGGCACTTTGTGCCAGAAGACACAGCTCAGTTCTGTCCCCAAGCTGGGACACTCGCTCCAGCCACCTGCTCCTTTTTCCTTGGAAACAAGCCCTCTGCTTACTTTTGTGTGGAAGTAACTTTTGTGTGTTATGAAGTCTTTTGAGTTTTCTATTAATATATATATATATATATTGCTCTGAGTCAGACCTTCGTTTTTTCAGAAACTGTCTGGTGCAAGTCATCTCTCGTTACCCCTGGTTTGTAGCTTAAATATGTGTGTTTTTAAATGGCTATAAAAATAAGCAATTCACATAAACATGCCCATCCTCTCCCTATTATGGAGCTTTGTTCTCCTTGGCAAACTCCCCCTGTTACTTCTTTGGCATTTACTTAACTCTGTGTTTCTACATCCTGTTTGTCTTATAATTACATCATGTATGACCTATCTTCCTTCTATGCATGGTGAGATTTGAAACCGAGATCCTCATGTCCAACAAACACAGTTCCGCTCTGTCTTCCTTGTGGCATTATATGAGACTTGTTGAATTCATGAGCAATTACTTGGACTGCGTTGCTTTGTGACGTATTAAGTACTAGATGACGTTTATTGAGCAAATGTAATACAGTGTTGAAGAGCTGAGACATGTATGGACTCGGTAGCAAGCACATCCTGTTCACCCACACAGTGTAAACTGCTGCTCTAAAGTCACATAGGAAATAATGATGGTGCTTTACTTCAGTAAAACTACCTACACTCTATTGTGTAGGTAGAGTTTTCCCGTGTCAGTGGCTGCTTCCCAAATAACCACTCCGAGGCTTAATATTAATTACAAATGCTTGGCCAATAGCTCAGGCTTGTTACTAGCTAACTGTCACATTTTCACTGAATCCATATTTTTGTTTACACTTTGCCACATAGCTTGGTACATTCTTTCAGTATGGCAATGTCTATCTTGCTTCTCTCTGTGTCTGCTGGCACCTCCCAACTCTACCCTTCTTCCTTCCAGCATTCTCAGTTTGCCTCTCCCGCCTAACCTCATCCTGTTCAGCTATTAGGAAGTCATCTTCTTTCTCACACCAATCCCAGCGTCATCCCACATGGATAATCCTCTGCACATCCCACAGTGTGCAGAGGATTATCCCACAGCACTAGACCCTGCTTTTAACCATGACAATCTATGTTATTAACACTTTCAGTATTTATTTAGTTGGTTATTGCTTTTTTCTTTCTTTCTTTCTTTCTTTCTTTCTTTCTTTCTTTCTTGAGATGGGGTTGCACTCTGTAGTCTGTACTCACCTCAAACTCACCCTCAAATTGTGACAGTGGTCTTGCCTCAGATGCTTGAGGGATTACAGATGTGATTTACCACATCTGGCTTACTTACATGTTTTAAAAAGATGACTCTTGTCTGTGTAGGCCTGGAACTTCCTTCATGATCTTCCTTCTTCAGCCCAAGTGCTGGGATTGCAGACATGTGGATGATTGTTATGATTTCGAGAAAGGCTGTTTGTAGTGGAGTCACATGGATTTGTTGTCATTTCTTTGTTTTTATTTCTTTTAGGAATCCTGCTTAGTGAGACATTCTGATGTTCTCTGCTTTAACCCCACAGTTCTTTGGGTTTGCACTCAGAAAGGCCACGTGACCTTTCTTCGTGCTCTGTCCTGTTCCCCCATCTCGAGAGTGACTCCTTATTTCTGGCCTGCCCTTTTGGTCGCCTTCTGCTTTCTTCTTCCCTGTTGTGCGATGTGTTCCTGCCTTCCATTTTAAGTGGCTTTCCTCCCATGTGGGTCAGCTGCTGTCAGTCACGGGGTGAGGAGGCTGCAGGAGCTGGCAGGCACTCTGCCGATGGCCCGAGGTTCAGGTACTGGTGATGGTTTTCCTGCGCAGTGACATCAGAGGCGTCATCTGTGAGTCCTTCCTGTTATGGAATGTTCCAGACTTGTTTCTGGAGCTATGTACCTGTTGCAGGTGCTGTAGGAGCTACATTTGAATTGACATGTGGCTGTACACGATTGTATCTGTAGGCACACGTGTATGTGGAGGTCAGAGGTCGAGGCTCGCTTTCTTCTTTGATGTTCCCCACCTTGTTTTTGAGATGGATTCTCTTACCAGCGTGACACCAGGCTGGTTAGTGAGCCCCAGGGAGGGACCCTGTAGCTCCTTCCACTGTGCTGGAATTCTAAGTGTGTCCTACCTTACTTCGTGGAAGGGATATGAACTTGGGTCCTTGTACTGGCCTGGCAAGCGCTTTAGT